GATCTCTTGGACAAATCACCGAAGGTGCCAAGATAGGTTCATCACGAGCAGGAAGGAACAAGGGAAAACAGGAGGTTTTCCCCGTGGACTGACCCGTGACAAGATCCTATTCCCGGGCCCTCAACATAAACATTATATTGTTTTCCCTTTTGAAAAGGTAAATTGTATTCTATGGATGCATTCTAATACCTCAAAAAGATTCATGTACACCAATTGATGAGGCTTTATATAATGGTCCGAATATTGGATCATGCCTCATACCTTGCAGTAAAAGTAATAAGAGTGATGCAGAATGCTATGATTACCACCAAACCTCCCTTGATGAGAAGTTTCTTAGTTCTGACTAGTAGTGAAGGTATCATATCTTTTACATGCAAAGTGTCAGGAATCATGTAATGTTTGTACCTTTGGTTCCTTCAGGAAATACCTTGCCTAGTAAAAAAAGAAAAAAAAAAAACTTGCCACAATTGTTACCATGTGCCTTTTTATATTTTGATAGGAAATGTAGGGATTGTATCAATATAGAAGGAAGTGGCAATGCCTCATATAAAATCAATCTTCTCAATTGTCTTTGTTGCAATAGGTATTTTGCCCTTTTTGGTTTTATCCTTGGGTGCTTGATGGGGTCTTAGTCTCTAGTGATGGGTTCTGGGTTGCTGGAGGTATTATCACATATACTATATGGAGGAGTCAAGGTGCAGTGCCTTCTTTCTTTTCCTTTATTTTTTATTTTTTATTTTTTTTATGGAATGGGAGAGGGGTAAAAAGAAATGTGCTTGGGAAGCAAGATCCCAAAGCTCTTTGTGGGCGTGGTTTTAGAAAGTTGGGTTTCATGAAAGCTTTTCTTGGTAAGTGTCTCTGGAGATTTCCCAGGGATGAGGCAGCTTTATGGAAAAGGATGGTAATGTCCAAATATGGGGAAGCCCCTCTAATTTTGTCTTCTAGGATGGTCAATTCTGCATATGGTGTTAATTTTTCGAAAGGGACTATGGAAGTGTTTAGTAATTTCATTCCCATTAAAGAACAATGAAGATATTATGAAATCTTATCAACAATTGAGAGAGAGGAAGCTCCTATCACTGCCATATTATAAATTTACCATGTCCTGATTTTCTATTGATGATCAATTATGAATTGAATTCTCTCTCTCTCTCTCTCTCTCTCTCTCTCTCTCTCCCCCCCCCCCCCTTAATTTTAAGTTCATTTTTTTTTTCTCTTTAGTTTGGTTCTCTCTTTATTTGCAAAGAGTTAAGGATTTCAATGAATATGCATCCCAGGTAGATATTGCTGCGGGAGGATGGCATTCTACTGCATTGACAGATGAGGGAGAGGTATTTCTTTTCAGTCCTTGGTAGCTTTTCTTGTTAGTTTTCATATTATTAAATGGCATTACCATCGACTAAAGAGGTAATATTAGTAGTCCTGGTGAAAATGGAATAATAATATTTGTTGTTTGGTCTTAGTTAGATAACAGTACTTTTCTTTCTATTCAACACTAAGTTGTAGAGTCTCACATCTTCAATTATGACAAAATTAACTGGAAAGAATTTCTAAAGCCATACCCACAGAGCTTTGGTTGCAAATGCTGCACAAGTGACAAGGGTAATTAAACATGGTGTTTACTACTTACTAGTTACTAGCAAGTGGTTAGGATGAGTTTTGAACTGAGGTTGGTAGCAAGGGTAATTAAACATGAAGACTTGACTACTTTCTCAAACTAGTAGGCTGATAATTTTGGAAATGCAGGTAGCAAATGAGATCTGTGTGTTTGGGGCTTGGGGTGGTTAAAGAACCCAGTAGTTTCAAGGAGATTGATTTCTGAACCTTCACATGTGGAAAATAGAAATAAATCATAAGCTGTATCTTGGTGTTTCACTACAGGTGTATGGTTGGGGAAGGGGGGAGCATGGGAGGCTTGGATTTGGAGATGACAAAAGCAGTAAAATGGTGCCCCAGAAGGTTCACCTCCTAGTTGGGGAGGATATAGTTCAGGTAATATTCATAAACTAATTCTACCATGTTTTCCATCTCATTAGTTGTAATTCATCATTATTATATTGGCATCCCTTTGTGCCATAGTCATAATCAAACTATGGCATGATCAGGCATCTTCTGCTTATATAAATTAGAAATGATAAAACGTGTATAAATCCATTTCTTGGTTACACCCTTCACTCTTTGAGTTGACTTATTTCTGAATTCTGACTACATATTCAGGTGTCATGTGGAGGCACACATTCAGTTGCATTAACACGTGATGGGCGTATGTTTTCAGTAAGTATTATAAAACTTCTAGAGAGCCATTTTGTGATAGTAGACAACTAGAGATGGCCTTAAAAGATAACCTAGAGGAGTAGAAACTTCAAACAGGCATTCCTATTTGTAAGAAAAATAGGACAAGAGTTCCATAGAACAATCTGAAAACTAAAAAAGGACCTAGTGATGGAAACACCCAATACGCACATTCATGTGTATTGGGGTTCATTGATACTTTGAACCATGTAGCCGACTATGCCCAGCCCAACCAAACCCAAGGCCACTGACCTATAACTAGGGTTGCAACTTGGGCTGGGTTAGCCCATACCCAACCTGAAAATTTTAGGTTGGGTTGAAGTTCGAGTTAGGGTCAGGGATGAAAAGTATGAACCTAACTTAACTTCGGGTTGGATTAGGGTAAGGCCTTGGCCAACCTGAACCTGACATAGCTTATGTATGTAAAAGTATTATATAAACATTTATTTATATATGCAGTTACTTATGAATATATGTATGTATACATGTTGCAATGTTGCATGTATGTATATGTGCAGTATGTAAACAATTTTAAGTTTAAAGGCATTTTTTTAAAAGCATGATAACTATGTCCTTTTACATATATAATGCCTTTGAGTTTAAAAGAGGTCGGGTTGACCTCAACCCAACCTAACCCGGCCTGACTTGCACCCCTACCTTAACATCTATCCCATGTTAATTGCGTCTGTATATGTATTTATGCTCTAGTATATTTGGAATATGTAAACGACTGTCCAGGGCCCATTATCATGCACAAACATGTATATACACATTTCTATATGCTACTTGTGTGTTTCTCTTTTCTATTTCTGAATGGACTGTGAATCCCAAATGAAAGAAAAAAACTAGAGTATAACTAAGAAAACTTTAAGACCTGACAAGCCTGCCCAGGCCCGACCAAGCCGATCCAAGTGTTCACAGCCCAAGTTTTATTGGGTTTAAATTGGGCTGGGCTTGGGTTTGCAATTTAGGGTTTGACTTCATGGGCAGGGTTGGCTTAAGGTCTAGGTCTTAGGCCTGGGTTGACCTTAAACCTGACACAACTCACACAAGTTGCACCCCTAGGCCTCGTTGGGTCTTTATAATGCAAATTTGATTGGGTTTTCCACTAATGCTTGCAGTACTACAGACACATCACGCTTTCTAGTTTCTAAAGCTCTATCTTAGTGATTTCCAACTTCCATAGAAAACTGAAACTGCTCAGTTGCTACTTGGTGCAATAAATTATATGTTGAGGTGCTAATTTCTATTATTGTCACTTTATAACTGGTTTTAGATTTTGAATACTCTGTGCTCCTCTCTCTTTCTCTCTCGTATGTATGTTTAATCTTCGTCAGTGAATTATACCTTGACTTGTTTGTTCTCCGTAGTGATATAAGGTTGACTGATTTTGTTTCTTGGCAGTTTGGTCGAGGAGATCATGGACGTCTTGGATATGGGAGGAAAGTAACAACTGGTCACCCAATGGAAGTGCCAATAAACCTCCCGTCACCAAGGCATCTCAGTGGCACTGGTGCTGAAGGACGTTGGTGTGCAAAACTTGTTGCCTGTGGTGGACGCCATACTTTAGCAATAGCAACATGGGAGACCAATGAACCAGACCAGTTGCTGTGATTGCGGATATTAAAATTGCAGTCATGAATTTTGGAAGATTTAGCAGAACTTTTGTAAACACAACTTGAGATTGTATATTGTTTTAAACAGCGACTAATTAATACATTTACATGGCACTCACAAAAATAATACATATATATGAATTAGGATGGTATTAACCATACCATGCTTTCTGCAATACAAAATTGTGGTATTTCCATGGAGTGATTCAAGTATTTAGAATTGATATT